ACAACGAAGACGACGACGACGACAACGACGGCATTAGTGATGTCTTTTTGCTGTTGGCGGCTTCACTCACACACACACACTCGTATATGCGCGCGCAAGCGCCTTGTGTGTATGCATGTGTGGGAGAGCGGGAGGACGTGAGCGAGGGAGCCTAATTATCATTATCGCGGAGGTACTCTCGCGGGATGTGTGTGCAAGATGTCTCGTTTCTCCTCTGAGTCAACTACACTGCGCGTGCGAGTCTAGACAACGACGAGGGTCTTGGCGCGCCAGCGGTGCGCACTTCAGAAGCCATAAAGTGGGCCCCAGACACTTCTCTTTTTAATCACCTCTCTCGCGTATTCGCGCCCCAGCGGAGGTGGCTACTGCTGGCATTGATGACACCTTCCATCTTCTGTCTGCGCACGCATGCCCGCATAAGCGCACACCAGCCAGAAGGCGTGTGGATGTGCAGACACCAGACGGGCAGAGGGACGGACACAGACAGAGGTATCTGCATACGTATCTACCCCCGGCGTTTGGCTTTTCCATAAGTGGAAAAATTCCCATAGATTAGTGAATATGATCAACGACATTCAGACAATTTACCATCTATGGCTGTTAGAAGTAGCCATTGATGCCGCTGCCGCAAATTCAAACTAGCATACTTTTGGACAAAGCAAATGGAAATGGGCAATCCTTGGCAGCCAGCATATGAATTACATACATGAGAAGAATTGGGGTTGTGGTTAGTCCATCTCTGACAGAATACCATTTCTGCGATTCACTTGTGATACCTCTATCAGTAGTTCCAATTCTTATTCTCCTATACAGCCACTTAAAATGAAATTTTTGTGTCGCTAAAATCTTTGGAATCATCAGTTATTTACTTGTTTGAAACGTTCTGGGTAGCACATCAGACTGACATTAACGCGTATCTCAATCCTCCATTGCGTAACAAGGATCATCTTAATTGCAAAAATGAATAATGAAACGGTGTTTATGCTAATCCTGATAACCGTTTTTCGGAAGAGATCAAAAAATGACACCTTTTTGTGGAGCAATGAAACAGAAGAAATTCATTTGTGCTTTACGTCGATGCCAAGTAATCATTGGGAGCTCAAAGGAAAGAAGTGTAAGTTATTTTTAACTTAAACGAAAAATAAGCAATAGCTGAACTTGTCTAACGCAATTTAAACTATTTCGGATGCTTGAAACAGCTGGTGGCTTCAACAGCCACGAAGTGTTGTAAGCCGAAATACATCACAAAACAGAACAACTGAAAAATGAATTGCTTCAACTCGAATCGTGACCATATTTTTGTTCTGTCGACATGGCTTTTGCCTCGGAATCACTTAAAGTGTTTAGGTTTAAAAAGCTAGATTTTCTTTGTCTGAGAACAGAGGAACGGCAGAGCACTGGAATTTGGTGATGACTCCAACGTCTCGTTACTTCCTCCCCCACAATTTAACCCCTTTCTTCGAGTGGGTGTCTGAAATGTTGAAGTGATCATACAATATTTTGCCATGATTTTAAAGCCTTCAGTTAGTTGACTTTGCAAGCTAGTCAGCGTAGCACACAACCGACACTTCGCGAGTGACCTGGTGGACAATTTTGATGAATGTATCATATAAATAAAATCTGATGGTAAGTCCATTCATTCAACCCTGGACAGATGATCGCTTTGTTAGTGATAGTCGGTTTTCAGTCCCAGGATGAGTTTAGAAATTGTTCGAATATTTTGCCCGACTTAAGGGTACACTGATTTAAGAAATCAATCCCGGTTCTTAAAATAGCTGAGATGCAGTGGTGAATTTGTTACTACTCAATCATATTTTAAAATACCATTTTGTTTCTATCAAAATTGTAACGAGGTAAATTTTGGAGAAGAGGCTTAGAGTTGAGACGTTTTGAATTGTCAATTGACGAGAATTTGTGCGCAATAAGACCTTTTTAAAATAATGCTGACTGGAAGTGTTCTGAGACACGGTCACAACCTGCGGACATTGAAATTAATACGAAATAATATTGTCTGGCTACTAACTTAAATTACCGGGCGAATCAAGATACAAGGTCCAAATAATACTTAAATAATAAAAGAGTCAATGCAACTGAATTCGCTATTCCTGTATGGAAATAGACGCTTAGACAAACCTTAAGCGGTAAAATTGGATCTAAGAAATCTGAAACAGGCGATACCGCAAAAACAGTCGTAGCGTTTTATCAAATCCATGAAGTTAATGCTCCAGATGCTATAAGTTTTTTCTTAATCTACGATTTAGTTATCTTTTATAAGAACAATTTAGTCGATTGCATTCACGACTTGACTTCCAAGTCATATTGATCTTACAAATGTCGTTTACTCTACTTTAAGAAGTCCTTTTACCGTCATTTTGCCTTTGGAGGAATTTCCTTTGATCACTCTTGTACTGCACCATTAATTTGTTTTGTAAACACTGGACTAGTGCCGTTGACAAATAAACAGAAAGGACAGTTAATTACACACGTCGTCAGCACTCAACTCCGGAAGTCCCGCTTCCAATTTAGCTCGGTTCGCTACAATACTTTTTGAGGCAATAAGCGGGAATTATTTTAATGATTTTTACTGAAGTGTATCCACAGTGAAAAATCACAAGTGCAATGTCAGGCAGCATAATAATGCTGGGCATATAGCAAGCTCAGACAAGGACGCAATGTTTGGGTGTGGGTGTGTCTAAAATGGGTGATGATGAGGGAAAGTGATACAACTTCAGTGAGGACAATCAGCTTATCTTTCTATTTTTAGATGCACACGACAGCTAGACACTGAGTTGCGTCAGACATAGACACACGCTTATCTCTCTTGTTCCTGTGTCTGCCGTTCGGATGCATCGCCACCCTCCTGTACCTACACAAGGGCGCCCGCGGTCCTTTCATGTGCTCCCCTTGCATCAACGTCCCATTCAGCCATGTCCCTCAACCCACCGCCCACCGCCTATCCTCTTCCCCCTCTCTCTCTCGATATGCAAGTGCGTGCGCACCCGTAGTAGGTATGAAAATATGCACATTCACGTGCGCACCCGAGTCTCATCGCTGATTGGCTAACTCATGCGCATGTACGCGCATCTGTTCACCCGGGTGTGCATCGACAACGCTTTCTCGATCCTCTCTTCAATTATCGCATCGTGCCTTACTTTTAATCACCCAATGAACTCCCATTGTGTTCTAAGTCAGTAATGCTTTACGTGCACACCAATGATACCTCAATCTTGGGCTGAATTTCTTCTACATTTCCATGTTCCTCGTCCACAATACGGTCAAAGGGCCTTAATGTTTAGGTACACTTTCTTCTCTTAAATGTATTTTTTTAATCAGAGCGTTTAAGACCCGCACAAAGGCAAATAATGAAATCGTCCTTAAACTGTGGTGTATTGGCCTTTAGGTGGGCAGTAATAAATTTAGGCCACAATACACTAATGACCACTATCACTAGGGCATGTGTGTCATTATTAACTGAGATCATGTTTTTTATATCAGACTCACTTTAAGCTCATTTTACTGGGCGTTAATTTGTAAGTTATTTTTTAATTTGAATTGGAATGAACTGTACCGTCAGAATGGGCTAATATGTTAAACAGTAAATTGACAATGAATCAATGGTTACCTTTAGTACACATTTTAGATTGATCACTTATGAAAGTTACTTTAAATACGTGAAAAAGGCATTGTACAGCTCATCATGCAGCTGAACTGAGTGAACTTTATTTATGCCGACGGTTTCAAGCTCATTTTCAACTCTTCTTCCAAATTCACAATGGCTCTGTCCGTCTCCATGTTGCTTATAGTTAAAACTGTTCTAATTGCATAAAAATTAAAAAAAGTCTAACTTGATGCAGATCATCGAATGTCAAGCGTGATAATCATGTGTGCACTTAATGAATAGCTCCAGAATTATAAAATTTGGTACCCCAAACAAAAATGTTAACAATGATATTGGTAATTGGGATGGCTTGGAATTTAGATCCGTCGACTGAGTGATTTCAGCGGTTGTGAGGTCTGTAAGATGGGCGACTCTGCTTTATTAATCCAGCTCTTGTCATCTTTACTCGTATTCTTCTTTTTATAGCATATTTTCGGACAAATGACAATTGCAAGTAATAGTACAGTGAAATTGTAAAATTTTTGCAGGCTATTAGTTATTCACTCGTGAAACGACCGCAGGTGGCAGGGCATCTAACGGCTTTCTTTTTTACGCCTTTAAAACAATGGCTGACAACACAACGGGAAGTCTAAGCAAACTCAAAGTGATATCAAAGGATTTTAGTTTACACTGATTAAAAGTCAGCATATAGAGATGTCAACTTCGGTGTCCAAACTATGTGAACCCTATGAATGTAATAACTTGATTTGGGCCTCATGAACGTGTGCTGCTGCCTTCATGTGACAAGTTATTATGGTAATAAAAGAAGGTTAGCTTCGGTCTTGGAACAAAAGTAAAGATGTGTGTAGATAGGTAGGCTAGTTAATCATCACTAAATGAGGAGGTTTATAAACAATCACCCCATTGTCCTTTTCATTTTAGTATCCACTCAAAATAGAGATCTGTTTCTGTTTATCAAACAGCCTATTTGAGTCTGTGATTTGCAGTCATTTTTAACTTACCAACAAGTCTGCAATGCAGTGAAAATACATAGCTGACGATACCACAATCACTAATTCTACTTCACTTATGTTGCTGTACTCGCTTCTATCTCTATCATGGCAATTACTATCACACTGCTGTGTGAAGTAACTTACCTACACGTGCGGGAGACGGAGCTGATTACAAAAATCCCATGATATACAAACGGTATTTTGAAACAATCGGGACGGGAAGATGGGGTACAAGCACCAACAGCACCCAGACACTGAGGGCCTGTGAACGCTTACGATGGAGGTACACAGAATGCGTGGTCTCCGTGGTGTGAGGAAAGCGCTGACTATGCGCCGCTACTTACGCCACAAGATTCATAAGTTTTGATCTCATGAGTTTTAGTTGGTTCAGTGAAGTTCACTGTGGACAAGAGTTGCAAAATCACGGGTATGATGGGGCTCCAAATTTGTGGGCTTTACCCTCATAGCCAGTCCACCACTCACTGTCCTTTAATTTACTTAAGCTCCCTTTCTAGGAGCTCAACTACTTCCAAAACGAGACTTTTTTTCAATTAGTTTATAATACTGTTTAAATCTAGTGCCTAGATACCCGCATTCATGGTGGCCAGTCTTCCTAGATTGTGTAGTGTTTTGTATTTACAATACAGATAAGCTTGTGTATCACAAGATATATAGGTACGAAATATAACAAATGGGGCATTGATCTCATCATGAGAGTGAGCTCTGCTTCGCCAGCTCTATGAATGCAACTTGAAACGCCTTCAACGTTGTAGCGTAAGTGCTTACGCGCCACCTCACACATGGGCATGCTGAACATGCGCGAAAATTCATCGATTACCCGAGAAATGCGTAGGTTGGGGCGTTCTGCCACCGGTGGGGCCAGAAAAGGCGATTTCGCTTTGATGTGGTATCGTCGGGCCTTTTTTCTCTCTCTCGTGTGCCGGCCCGCCCGCCCTCAGACTAGTCTTCAGCCCTTCCCTAATGGATGAACGGAAAAATGACGAAAACAATCACATACACGCACACACACATAAACACATACAAATCGGACATCCAGGAGTGAACAACACGGTGATAAAACCAGCGGCACACGAACTTCAAAGGCCGTATTTACGTGATATCGGCGGCAGTAGCAGTAGTGTCTCTGTGAGATTGCAATAAAGGCAAATACCAATAAAATTAGTGATAAATGACACTGCTTATAAAAAGATGGATGAGTTGTGGGTTGAAAGAGGAATTCGCATCGAGTACCGTTTGACAAGGAGGCCTCAAAGGGATTATTAAACAGGTTGATTTGACCTTATGCCTTGTCTGCTAGTAAAAGGAAACACTGAGTTGGTATCACCTTCCCCACAACCGTAGTGATATCCACACTTACTGTCATGAGACAGCAACGGAGTAGCACCCTGGCGTGATGGAAAATCTAGGAAAGGGTTGCGTGTAGTCACTGCATGCATCATGAACATCAATGCTTCTTGAATGGTGTCTGAATGCCCTACTTACTAGATCTTGAAATAAGAAAAATTAATTGAACCTGCACGCCTCACTTTCAAGACGTCCTATGAGTGTAAACATTCATACCATGGAAGAAAAGTTGGATTAGTTACGTGCACATTAATCAAACCGGTATTGCTTCGTAGAGTGGTTAAATAACCAGCATGTTAGCAAACAAATCACTCAGTTATGCTTATATTAGCTGCATGTCTAATTTATCAAGTGTATAATGGAAACAGGTATAATGAGTGAAAATGGAAATTCTCACCAGTCTGTTCCCTTCCTTTAATGTTTTAAAAAAGAACTGAGTTAACAGTCCTGAGAACACCATTAACAGGTTGATTAGCTTTTCAGAGGATGCTTTTTCTCTAGTCCGGAAAGGGCGAATGAACGCGAGAGTGGGCAAAGGCAAGAGGGAATGTCCCCAGTCTTCCCGCCTCCCGCCTCCGCTGGCCCATATAATTAGTTTTGTTTTGCCGCATTCTTTGACGCCGAGTCCAGCATCCTGCACGCGGGTGCTGTGTGCGTGCACGCGGCGTAAAGTGGATTTGTTACCACCTCCCCGCCGTAGTGCTTTGATGTCGTCGTTCGGGCACCCAACCTCTAGCTCAACCACTCACTCGCCCTTTTGTTGTCAGCGCTTTCCTCACACCACGGAGACCGCGCATTCTGTGTCTCACTGGTCGCGTTCTCCGTAAACATACACATGCGCACACACACAACAGTGAGAGGGGAAGGTGACGAGAGCGAGGCAGACGGGAAAAACAGAGCCATAAAATCCCTCAGAGAGACGAAGAACGGTCGCAACATCAAACGGCCTCGTGACTGCGTTTGCGCGACGAGTCTCGACTCACTAGAGTACTTCCTTGTCATGGTAGGGTTTGCTTAATCAATACAATAAGAAATTGCAACTTATGAAATGATTCTCTGACCCCATTGCCTTTGTGTTTGGTAGGGTTGGTGAGCCGTTTTGTAACAAGTTCAAGCGCGCCACCGTGTACAATTATGCTTATTTCATCCTTCACCAACGCCAATAACAACGGCGCTAAATCGATGGCGTCTATTGTCTCTGAACAATCGGAAGACAAAAGAAAGACCGATGTGATAATAAATTCGATCCTTTAATCCCCTTAATGGCTAGGCAAAATCGAGCAAATCAGTTCCGGTTTTGTGATAGCTTTGAGTTACAAAATAGGATGTGAGAAGAATAGTTTAGTCATCATCGAAGTCACTACTGCTAATTTGTTTAGCTGATTAAAGCCTACAAACCTGGTATTTGCAATTCCTTAGGTGGTGTAATTAATAGGCACAAGGTCTATAGCTATTTGGGTACTCAAAATTCTGGTATACTTTAACCCAAAGTGGAAAAGCGGTCTTTCCGGTTTCGTGTAACTTATGGACTAATGTGGGCTGTGCTTTTATATTAAGTCCATAGGAATGCCTATTTGAAAGTAAATTTCTTAATGAGGTGGAGATGGTTTTAGCAACTATCGCCAGTGACAGCGGTGAAGCCTCTGGAGAATGGCCTGTCTCTCGGAATGGGTCTCCCTCAAAGCACTAATCACGGTCATTTAGGTATATTACATCTGAGTCATAAAGTAGCGAGATTACACTCCATTAGCTGCTGCAGCTGTCTAAGACACCATTTGTTCCAATTAATTAGACCTCTTTGTGGACGGGAAACTGTTCGGAGAGAAGTACTAGTCGCTGGGAGCAGGCCGATTTTTTCTTCTCTGTGGCGAAACACCTTAAGTAGAGGGAATTTTCACAGGTCTTTAAGAATGCCTTTTCTATACGTCTTTTTCCTGAGCCCATGCAGCCTCCCTTACACTGATAAAGTCTACTGTAAGAAGTGGGTAATTGTATTTAAAAATGAGCTTCTTCTTCCCCTTCTTGGCCCATGTAACCACAGTTTCAGGGCTTATCAAAAGAGCAAACAGGTCTTTTAATGACTAAAATAGGTCTTTTTGTTATTATCACAAGACCATGGGGTCAGAGAGAGGAAAAGGAAATGCTGCCATGGTGCATATATCAAGTGCTTTTTAAATAATCCCATTAATAATGGCCTTCGTCAGCAACCGATTCACATTGCCACGCGCAGCCCTTTTTACAAAGCCTATTTTTTAACAACGAAACGCAAAAATTCCACTTCAAATGCAAATTTTATATGCTTTTTGAATTAGTATTAGCTGTTTTGATAATTTTGATGTTTTTGGAAGTTTTTCTGACCCACTGCTCTCATACATACCGAAGATCATTTACTAATCTAACCTAAAAGTTTCACATCAATGATATTATTCGTTAGTGTGGTGAACTTACGCACTTTCCTCCTACCCAGAACTTAAAGTGGGTCAAATGCAAAGGAAAGAGTGCTGAAACCTTAAAAAAGGCTTTTTCAATATGGGCACAAAGTGGTGCAAATGGTGTAGAATGCCAGTTTTAATATTTCCTTTAACCTCTGTACACCCCTTAGCACTTGTATGCCTCAAAGTATTTGCAAGGAAAATCTCTCAGCTCTGTTTCGTATATTCTGGGAGCACCAAAATTAAAAAGTGCAGTGGTTAACGCAAGCCCGGTGAATTGTAAGGAGTCTAAACTATGCAGAAGTCGCATTCCACTTGGGGTTGGATCCGAAAACACATGAAAGAGTTCAATCTCTGCAACTTAGCTTAGATTATGGTATCACAAATACCGCTTGTAAAGTTTTTTTCCGATTCCTGGACCATGAGGGCAAAAAGCACTTGCATCTGTGTTCGCGACTTCGCTTTATTGTTTAAACCTTCCCGATGTCACGCATTGAACACATCTTTTGATGTCTGCTTTTACTGAAGCCGCAGCCATCACCAACGTGACCAGTATTAGCACGGGAACCTCCAAAGTCATTTCATGAAGATGGTCTTATTGTCTCTTCTCTTCCCTGCCTAACCCCCTTATTCAATTTGTTCCGTGCTACAAACCAAAACTTCAAAGTCGCCTTCTGTTACCTCGGTCACCGGACGCCCGTTCAACTGCCCCCTCTCGATGCTCATCGTCCTTTCCTCGCGCTCCCCCCTTACCGTCTGCATGTACATGTGGGTGTGTGTGGGTACTACGTGAAAGGAGTGGTTCCTGTGAGAAGCCAAAATCAAAGGAGACGCACCTGGTAAACGGTGTTAAGATGGTCCACTTTTTTCCACCAAATTACAAGGGGAATACATAATGAGAGTGAGAAAGAGACTTGTTGGCTGACTAGACTCTGAGGGAAAAGCAGAAGAACACGTGGGAGTGGACTGCTGCAGCCTTTTTCCACTTCACAGCACAGGAGAGTCGGTTTTACTTTTTTAAAGTTATCCAACTCTTTTGCAGCATTTATGATGGAATATTGCAACCACACCCTTCTTAGTACAACTGCATTCATTCCAAGCCTGGAAAAGTATAAATTTGTCCTTCATGATAAATGCACTGCAACAATTACAAATTATTCTAAAAGGAAGGGATATGTAATTATGGTAAGGTTTAATGCTGGCTGGCCCTCCACCAAGAATTAATCCCATAACTCTTATCGTATAAATAAATATCAACAAAATATTGTAACCTCTGCTGTGCCAATCTATGAATCTACAAAGGTAGGCGGATATTAGCATTACCTTTATGTAATCAAGTCTCTGAAGTTTGGAATCCCAATTTGATATGAGACTATTCATTACATAACTCACCAATATGTCCCATCTAGCACTTATAAAAAGCAAAATGATTATTCTACAATTCTTGAAAAGTCTCTCCGTACGCAAAAAGATAATAAGTGACATTCAATGCTATCCTGAATATCTTTGGGCACATCCACTATCGATATCGGTATTATTGACAAGGAACTTACTAAAGGAAAACTGCAATGGATGTGTATTTTTCGGAGAGTAGCCATCTTGTAACTTAAACCCATAACCCTCATTTGTCGTTTAATCTAGGTAAGTTTATTCTTTGTGTTTCATGATTGCGAAACGGTAATCTATACATTTGTGACTTTACAACACTTTTTTTTCATTTTCTCGCTTAGATTACACTATTCTGGATTTTACCAAGGTGGGCGTGACTCAGACAGTTACTCACTAACAAACAGTCTGCAACGATATAAGGACGAAACGGCGATTCCCTCTACCGAATCCATTGAAGGTCATTTAGCAAGGCTATCTCAAGTTCATTCATGGTTACATGCAAAAGAGGTTAGTGTAGGTCAACTCAAACTTCTCACTTATGCCAACGGGTCTATCGTCGATACTGGCTGTGATTTTAGTGCTGATGTAGCTACTGGGAACGGGAAGTGGTGAGTATGCTAAGGGCTCGCTTAAATGGCCGCGGCATTGGCGGCGGCAATGGTAGTGGTGAAGACGGCGGTATTGCCGCACTTGCGGAAGACAGCAACAATATGAAGGGGCACGACATCAACAACAATGGCAACAAAACATTAACATCGCCTTATCAATGAGCTACTCAACTACAACTACGACTACTACTACTGCCGCTTCTGCTGCAGCAGCTACGGCGAACTACATCATACGAAAACGGGACAACAACAAAGTTGGACGCTGACAAACAAACACAAAGAATACCTTTGATGGTCATCTACCCTAAGAGATGTAAAACAAAAAGACCGGTGTAGTAAACTACGTACAATCAGAATCAACTCGTGGGGGAAACTTTTGGTGATATTCGCATCAATCACTCAAACACTGAGATAATACTGCAATAGAAGAGGAAATTGTTGCCTAAACGCTGGAATTGTAAAGGTCCTGGATGAAGAGCAATGTGAGTCGAATTTAAGCTAGTGGAATTTTTTGACATCAGGGGATTTTCTAAGGGCTTCACAACTCTTTCTTGCACAAAAGTAAAAAAAGAAAATCACTTTTATCTGGATTTAGCTCAGACTAAATTAGGCAGTAACGTTTGCATCAAAGTAGTAAAATCGAGCAAGTTGGTAAGATTTTTAGATCTATTTTATGCCCTAAATATAAATACCGTTTCCTTTTCTTAAATTTGGAGGTTTGGGGTGTTACTTTTTTGTTTTTTTTTCAATACTTTTTCACAAACAAGAAACCACCAGTGTAATAACGGTTCCATCAGCACTGTCGTCATTCACAGGTTAAAATACGGTCTGTGCACGGCGATTGCGTACTAAAAAGTAAGCCACAGACTTTGGGATAGCTCTTGGTGCAAATTAGCCGCCGCAAATCGACCAGCAGCCAAATCCACACTTCAGATGCCCGGTAAAGGTGAGCACAGGAGGTCTATCTCATCCATCTCCACTAGTCCGTCTGATTATGTGACAAAGGAAGAGACGAAGGCGGAGGGAGGGGAGGAGTCACCGTTCAAGGCATGACACACTGTGTGGGGATGCGAGAGGAGAGGGGAAGTGGGTCGATCTGTGAGAACTCATTTCACCTGTCTCAAATCGGGTGATCAAGTAAAACTGACGACTGGTAGCCTGTGTTCGCACGTATACACGCACCCACGCGCATTTCGGTTCTTTTTCTTTGAAGTCCTTGTCGCGAAATCTCATTCCTCTTGCGCGCACCCACGCACGTACGGGCGCACACTCCACACAATTGCAAGTGCACGTGCGCGCACTGGTAAACAACTGTCCGCGTGCCTGCCCGTCCGCCATGCACGTCCGCACGCACGCACACTGCACCAGGCATGGCGAAACATCAAAAGAATGCGAAGCTACGATTACGAGCCGCGCACACACGCACACACATTCGGAGTGAGGAAAGCGCGCCCGAAACGATAAAATGCGAGAAATGCGAACGGGCGAGAGGAAACCCCCGCGGTGTTTGTAATCGGCCGCTGTAGCAAATGTCGAACGGGAGGGGGCAGGAAACGCCTTTTTATGTGTGCTGCGATGCCGAGGATGTTTGATGAAGTGTCCCTACTTGATGAAATCCCACTGCGATTGCCCAAAATACGCTAAAGCCAAGCGCCTCAGAAGTCGAAATTGCATCGGTGGAGCTAAGCTACTTTACACATTGTCATGTATAAAAATAACGGGGATTTATGCGCCTTTTAATTACGTTCTTCTCGCTCCTCTCAGCATGGTTGTGCATTTTCAGCCATATTCTATCCAATCCACCGCGACTTTATGTAATTTTTCGGGTCACAAACAAAATTGCATTCCTACAGAATCAAGCAGACTTTTTTTACTATTCCTTGTTACATTTTCACCATTAACATACTTTATATCGTGAAGGATTTTGTTCAACTCATCTTAAGAACGCAGATCCATGTCAAACCTTGCAGTTGCCTAAAGGAGAAATACCCAGTTATGGTAGACAGCTAAAATGCTGTGCTTATGGTTGTGGTGGTTAGTTTCCGTTTCTGAAATGTATGTATATGAACGAAGGCAGCAGTAGTCTTTTTTTGCGGCAGAAAATTTTGAAGGAATTTTCTTAAAAAAATGGAAACATTAGATTTTTTGAACTTTCGCTGTATTCTAGACTTATGATGAGGGTAAGAATTTTATCAGTAATTGCAAGTGAATACAGCATAAACAGCTAGCTACAGCTCAAAGGACTGTCTTTTTTACCTTAACTTTTTCAGATGTGAGATAAAATAGATTTGCTTCATCCATGCACGCCAAAAGATAATTTTGCCATCAATGACAGAAGGTAGGGGAACTTGTCGATCTAGGTATGAACTAATTTTGATGCTCTCTCTTCGCAGGTCTTTTGGTCTTTTGTTAAAGAATTTAGCACAAAGCGTTAAAAATTAGTGCTTCCAACAACACACAATCGGTTCAAAGTGAAACGAACCAACCCTTGAAAGAGCTTCGGGCTTTCTCTCCGGTTTCCACATTTTAATGTGGGAAATTCCCTGACACCATGTGAACAGATTTCTAACTGTGGTCACTTGTCAAAGCAAATTGTGCTTTGTGCAGCATTGGTTAAAACTTTAACATTACAACTGACCTATTTTTTAAGCTGCCACTACATATACCAAGCATAATTAAATTTAAAAAGAGGGCAGTGGATTTCTTCTTTCGACGCGCCAAATTGCGCACTTTCAGAGTAGATAGAAATCAAGGTGTTGGTTTTCCGATAGTATATAATTAATGAAAAGTTGGGCTAGTAGTCTTCTTATGCATGTCTCCTAAAAAGGGGCTTTTGAATGGTTTCCTTCTGTATAAGAAGGCATGTTTGAATAATTCGTTTTTTATCCAGTTGATTTGCGGGAATTGAAAACTTCTGCTTTATCACCCTACAGACTTTATTTGGACATTGTGTGTTGGCTATTCTCTCTGGTCTCAGCCGCCTAATCTGGAACAATCTGTCCACCTTCCGCCATTCTGAAGAGGGCTCATTATTTATTCACAGCCATACACACAAACACTGTGTAGATCTTCAGTAAAGCTGGGGCTGAAACAAAATCATAGACACAGAGAGCATTGAAAACTACGGCACAACGAGGAAAACAAAGGAAAATGATACGACTACAGTAGGAAAGTTCATAAAATCAGTAAGGTTTACTTCGTGCTGTAGACGTCAAAAGATGGATCTCTTCACTACCACAACTCGTACATGTTAGGTACCTGATAAGAAAATCGCACATGATTTATCTAGACAAATAGCTCTACTTTCGCAATGACTGCTTTGGAGGCAACGAAATTTACACCACATGCTCACAATGAATTTGCTGAGTTCAGAAATGAGGATTGTAGCCAACAAAAATGATTTTATGCCCCCTTTTGGATTTACTTCGCATTAATTTATGCTCCCAACTTACAAAAAATCTATCGGTTTAATACGTTTTTTTGCCCGGATCGGTCCTTTAATTGCTTTTTCTGCTGTCTCTGAATGGTTGACCAAGTACACGCAAGGGAACAGCCAGTCAGTCCAAACGCAGCAAACCGGTGCATTAGCATCTCTCATGCATATTCTTTGTCAAATTTCCTTTTGCCATAGGATTCTTATCTAAAACAAAAACGAACCTTATGGGCAGAGTTGACCCCTCTTTTGGAGAGAAAGTGCTTCCAACACCAGCATCAAACAAAGGAACTCATCCTCTGTTCCATTTAAAGCCGATAAAAGGCCAAAACAATCGGTTTTAGTACCGATTTGGGTTTCTTAAGATCATTCTATTATTGCAAAAAATTTCCGAGGTTATCCAGAAATTAGAACACAAACCTTTCGAGCCATGGTAAAAGGCGAGCTCTTAGGAAAGTCATTCAAAAATTTCATATGGCTAAATTGGCTGATAAACAGTCCTAGCCTTTCCTTTTTTTGGAGGGGAGGGTTTATCGGTGGTAAACCTACACTTTTGCTAAAACAAACGTTGTTTTGACAATATAAGTCAAGTGTTGCTGAAGGTATGCATCAAACATACTCAAATCCACGTAACGATTTCTCGTTTCACTTCCTCTCAGGAACCAGAATTGTCGTACCCTTCATTTTAATAAAACCAACTTACCTTTGCCTAAATTATTAATTCTTTCTTCTTTCTTAAAAAAGGAAACGCCCCTTCCTTTTAGAAAAGAACCTTAAAACGATTTACCTTGGGGATATTTATTTTTATAAATCTGTCCAAACTTCGAGGCCTTTACTATACATTGAATGGATCAATCGAATAAGGAAACATAAAGTGAAGCAAAGGCGAAAATATATGCAGACGTTGGATGCAAATGTTACTTTTTGGATCTAAAATACTCAATGTTTGTGGCAGAGGAAGACGGATCAAGATTCCTTTCTGCACATGAGTGCCGACGAGCGTGATTTACTGTCATTCAGATGCTGAATACATAAATTGACAACAAGGAGATGTACGAAAGAGCTCTTTGTTGTCTCTTCGGCGGCTCAAATCAAAGCAGGGCAACGGGCATGCAAAGGAACGCCTTGAGTCTCTGGTGGTTACCGGGTTTTTGCCTTATGGAACGAACTAGTCTTTTATCATGCTCCAAGGCTTTTTCCTTCACTCCGTCTTCGTCCGTGCTTGTGCATGCGCCCGTGTCTACATCCTCACCACCGTTTTGTCCGTTTTCTTTCTGAGCCATCATAAATCATTCACATACATGCCACATCCCACACTTTCCCCCTTGCCCTCATCCTCCCACTGTCTGCTCTGTCCAGCCTCCAGACCGAGTACTCCCATAGCGTCGATCGACAGCGCATTCATGCTGGCCCCTAATGCCATTCATAGGCTTTGAGAGGGCCTTATGATAACAACTCTTGCCTCGCTGTTCCCCTCACTTCCCTTCAGTTCAGTTCATTCGGAAGTTTTCAGCTCGCCCAATCTGCATGAACGCATCACTCACGAAGTACAATTCATGGCAACGACAAATGGAGGATTATCCGATTTGGAAATGTGCACGCCCGTAATTCTTTTGCTATTTGTAGACTGGTGACCACTATTAAACTTCTTCTTTTTTACGTACCATGTATTCATCTGGTGTGCCGTCTAAGTCGCAAGTATTGGCTGATCGAGGTCACAATTTTCTCCTCACTTTTGAATGAGTTAAACAAAAAGAGCTTCCAATGTTCGTCAGAGATTATGAAACACTTATTTGTTTCGCTTGCATGGATCATAGCCTGATCTATCTGAATCTAACCCACTTCGAATTAAATCCCTGTTCTTGAGTATTTTGGCTGCATTGAGTTTTATGTGCCTCAAATTGGAATCCTTTTATTCAATCTACCAGGTGCAACCATAAAGAAGATAAGTAAATGGTTAAAGAAAAGGGGAAATATCTCACTTTCCAATTGTTGATGGATGGAATTGGCTTTTCGCAAACACACACACACACATACACCCCCTCTAGGTTCTCCTTGAACGTGGGAGAGCGATCAATGATTACTTGCAAATCAGGGAAATCAGGCCATTTTATGTTAAACCACATTCTTCAATTGAATTTACTTCATGGTTTCATCTTCTGTCCGCCCCAGCTGAGCAGGGCTCGCCTTTCTATCCACTGAAATAGCATGACTTTCAAAAGGTGTCATTTTCACAGTGAAAGATCGTCAATGTTACATGGTGATTTTGCAGTCCCCTATCCACACCTTGGATGGCCTTTGATTATTCGTTGCTGCTAGTTTAATAGTTAAGGAAAAGAAAAAACAATTTTTGAGGTTGCT